GAAGAAGTAAACATTTCACGCCCCCTCAACTCTCCACCGCGACTGTAAATAGTATAATTTCTCTATAAAATTGTTATAAGTATAACCTCTGTATAGCATTGTATCCTTATTAACATTAAATTTAAAAAAAGATAGAAATATAGATCACACTGATAAATTTGATGTTGATTGTGTGTCTTTTGTAAATTAGAAGATGAATCCCTCGAGCATTTTTTTTCATGTCAATACAAAGTGTTTGGTCAGACATCAGAATCTGGATTAATCTCAAACTCAACATTCCTTCTTTTCATGCTGATAACATTTTACTTTATGTGGATAAGATGAGGGATGCCATCATGGAGACTGATGAAACAATGGTCTCTTTTGATGTCACATCACTCTTTACGTGCATTCTTGTTGATGATGCAGTAGAGGTGGTCAGTTTAAGATTAAAATCAGACACCACTCTGAGCAGCAGGACCACGCTTTCCACAGAACAACTGTGTCAACTCTTGAAACTGTGCCTGCAGTCAACCTACTTCACATATGGGCAGCAATATTATAGGCAGAAACATGGGTGTGCTATGGGGTCTCCAGTTTCTCCTATTGTTGCCAACCTGTACATGGAGGAGGTAGAAAAGAGAGCCTTGACGTCCTTTTCAGGGACACCACCAAGTCATTGGTTCAGGTATGTTGACAACACCTGGGTTAAAATAAAATCTCAGGAAGTCCAACATTTTACTGACCACATCAACTCTGTGGATAAATACATCAAGTTCACATGAGAAGATGTAAAAACATGGCAGGTTGGCTTTCTTGGACTGTGAGGTCTCAGTTTCTGATAGAGGACATTTGCAAACTGAGGTGTATCACAAACCCACCCACACAAACCAGTATTTGTAGTTTGACTCCCATCACCCTTTGAAGCAAAAGTTATGATTCATCAGGACTCTGTACCACAGAGAAGACAGCATCCCCACTAACTCAGGAGCTAGGCAGAAGGAGAAATTCCACATAAGACAGGCTCTAGAGCAATGTGGATATCCTAACTGGGCCTTCCTGAAAGAAGAGAAGAATCCCAAACAGGACTCTAGTCAGCCATCAGGTGAAAAGGAGGAACCCAGACCAGTGGTCATTCCGAATGTTGCGGGAGTATCAGAGAAACTGAAACGTTTATTTTCTAAACACAACGTCCCAGTGGCTTTTAAACCCCAAAATACATTACGGCAAAGGCTGGTTAATCCCGAAGATCCAGTCCCCTGGCAAAAACAGTAATATTGTGTATGCTGTTCAGTGTCAAGAGGGCTGTGATCAGTCTTACATTGTGGAAATTAAACAGCCACTGGCCAAAACGATGGCCCAGCACAGAAGAGCAACACCATCAGGCCAGGACTCTGTGGCCTACACTTATCTCCAGGCCAGCGGTCACTCTTTCAGGGATGAAGATGTTCACATCCTGGATAGAGAGGAACAATGGTTTGAGAGAGGAGTAAAGGAGGCCATCTTTGTGAAAAGAAATCGTCCATCATTAAACAGGGGTGGAGGCCTCCGTGTTCAACTGTCCCCCTCTTACAATGCTGTTATTGCTAGTATCACTCAGCCGCCTGTGAATAGTAAACAGCCATCAGGTGCTAATGATCCATTGTTAGGCTGATGGTCCTCCTTGATCATGTGAGCAGCTGGTTTTGGCTGTCAGCAGCAAACTGGTTGATCCACTCTGAGAAGGTGCTTCTTATAAGACTGAGCTGAATACAGGACCTCAGACTGAGGAAGTCTTTTGGATGAAAGATGAAACGTTTCTACATTTTTTTGTTTTGCTTTATTTTGTTTTTGAATGTCCAGTGGACCAGACTTAACTTTTTTAGAACCATAAAATTGTGCTTTGACAAACTATAAAACTAACATATTTTGTTAAAGCGAAAGAAGAAAAGAGGGCAGGTATTGCTTTCGCTTTGAGTTTATACTCTTTGTTGCATGCATGCTTCTGGGTGAGAAGCTTCCAGATCGAAATAAAAACAGCAGCAAAGGTGTCAGAGTTATTTATTTATCGTCTCAGAAGCAGAGGGGAGCGACACAGTTCAAGCATGGCTCTCAAAATGACAAGGCAGTTATATTTGTCCATCCATCCATTATCTTTACTCACTTATTCCATTTTGGGTCACGGGGGTCGCCGGTGCCCACGTCCAGCAATCACTGTGCGAGGGGCGGGGTACACCCTGGACAGGTTGCAAGTCCATCACAGGGACACATAGAGACAAACGAGACAAACAACTATTCACTATCTCACTCACACCTAGGGACAATTTAGAGTTACCAATCAGCCTAATATGCATGTTTTTGGTCTGTGGGAGGAAACAGGAGCACCCGGAGAAAACCCACGCATGCACGGAGAGAAAATGCAAATTCCACCCAGAAAGGCCCCTGGACTGGGGTTTGAACCAAGGACCTTCTCGCTGAGAGGCAGCAGTTCTACCAGTTGCGCCACCGTGCTGCCCCAGTTATATTTGTTTACAACTTTATTAATAGTAAGCCTGAGAGTTCCTGAATCCAAACAAACAGTTGCCGGAACACACCCTGTCAAAATAAGAGAGTTCCCAGATCTTGTTCCGGCTCATATTATATACTGATGGGATGAAACCGGAGTACCCAGAGAAAACCCATGCATACACGGAGAGAATATGCAAACTCCACCCAGAAAGGCTCCCGGCTAGAATTTGATATGGCAACCTTTTCACCGAGAGGTGGCAGCTCTACCAGTCCACGAGACCTCCAAAAAATGTGGTGGTGAGGGTGTTGGGCTATGTACTCAATCTCACCTCTGGTGCCAGTGCCCACTCCCAAATGTAGCATGTCGATATTTAGGACTCTGGGTAAGGGTTGGGTGGATGAACAGGCACTGCCTACTCTCTGTGGGGGTCTGTGCAGATCACTGCCTCATCTGCTGCATTTTAAAAGCAATATATAACAACACGTATCAACACTTTATTTGAGTGAGCAGAGGTAGGAGTGGTTTTTTTATTTTTCATACCACCATTCTCTGTTTGACATTTGGAGTCAGGGGCAGGGAGTAGGATTGGGCCATCTGGTTGGAGTCTGAGCTGTGGGTGGGCTTTGGGTCTTGGGGGGGGTGGTTGGAGGTGGGGCCAGTGCACTTTTTCCCCTGGGGTCATTTAGATTTTTGGATCAAGGACCCTAGTTGTGATGGCCGGCCCTTTGGCTGAGGTGGCTGCTGAGTTCCGGCGGGGTCGGCTGGGGGGGGGGGGGGGGGGGGGGTGGCCATTGGCGATGTGTGGTGGCGATCGGAGGCATGGCTTTGCTTTTACAGGGAGCTGGCTCGTCAGCCTTGTGTGGAATTTGAAGTAGCTGGGTGCACTGTCGGCATGCCTGAATGCCTGAATGCCTCTGGGTCTGTGGTGTGGTGTTGGTGGGGTGCATGGTCTTTGGTGCCCTGGGCCGACCTCCCTCTGCTGCTTCTCCCTGCTGCTCTGGCCCCGGCCTGGGGCAGGCCTGTGGTTGCTGTTGGGTGGGTGGGGTGGTGGAATGCACCTTGTAGTGGCGCTAGGGTGGCTGGTGGGTTGTCCTTGGCCTGGAGTGGTGGGTCTGCTCAGGTGCGGGTTCCTGGCTGGTGTGGGTGCATGTGTTGTTTCATGGACGGGCGGGCTGGGGTTACTGATGTTGGTCGAGCCACTTGGTGGGCTCCCTGGTTTCTTGCCCTGCTTGTCGCTCCATTGGGGGATGTCAGCTCTGCTGGTTGAGGGGTACCGTGGAGGGTTGTAGAGTGTGCTCTGGGGGGGGGGGGGGGGG